ACTTGAAAAATATATAAAATATAATTTTTACACATATATATTATATATATACTATCTATATATTTTTTAATTGCACATACATACAATTTTTACACCTATATATATATATATTTAGTTTTTAATAGGAACATACATACATACTTTGAGAGAGAGGGTTACATTGCAATTTTGTGAAATACAAACGCATATTTTGCGTCAAAACGCAAATTTGCGTTTCTGGGAGGAGAGAGAAGGTCTATATCGCATTTTGGGAATGCGTTTGCAGTACCATTGGAGCAATTTTCACCTCATAATTTGAGTTTTGGAGTACGGTTGGAGTTGGTCTAAAGAGCACATCAAATATAAAGTGAGATCTCTTAGATCAACTCCAACCCTGCGCTACTTTGTGGAGTTGGGTTGGGTTTTCTTCTCCAGCCCTGCGCTAGATGTTAGCGTTGTTACAGATATAGCCACATCTGGCGATACACTGTAGAGGAACGCTAGATTTTATTTTTTTTTATAATATTGATTTGGTATTAATTGATGTATTTGTTATGTTAAATAATTTGGTGTTTTAACTATAAATGTATTTTAGGTTAATTTTGTAATTTTTGATAGTAAAAATAAAAATATAAATTTACCACAATAAACGAAATATTTATTTATTAATAATATTGAGAATATTTAAAAAAAAAAAAAAATCTTGACATCTATATATATTATATTGCATGTAACACAATATTACATATTCATATATATATATATAACAAATTAATTGAAATAAAAATAAATAAAATATATTTTTATTATTTGAGTAATAAACATTTTTTATAAAATTAAATTTACATATATATACTAAATTCATTTGAAATAAAAATAAATATTTTTTTCTTATTATTGAGTAATTAACATTATATAAGATTAAATATACATATATACCAATTTATCTAAAACAAAAAATAAATAAAAAAGTAAAATATGTGATGTAGAGTAAAATGTAGAGATAAAAGCTGAAGATAAATGTTCAACTCTACTCTAGAGTAGAGTAAAGTCCGCGCTAGAATAGAGATAAATGGCTGGAGATGACCTTAATATATGAATTAAAAATCTATTCACTATATCATCACTCGGACTGAATTTAGTGTATCGTAATAAATTTACCTTTTTTGTTTTGAGACGTACAGATTGGATTAGGAAACAACTCAGAAGAATCGACAAATCTAGCTTGAACATAAAGGGGGCGATTGACTACAGATTAAAATCGTTTTTCGATAGATTAAATAATTTTTTTTACACATTTTAAACTTTAAAATATCACTCGTTCAATCAATTTTTTCAAAATTTAATTTACTTATATCAATAGATTCAATCAAATATGATTTTATTTATATCCCATCGTCCCAAGGAGAATCTCCACTAATTTAACATTATCACTAAACACAAAATTTAGATCAAAATAAGTAGAATGGGATCATCATACTTTTAAAGTTAAATTAAAAATCACGTGTAGAGGGCCATAAAATTCTGGAAAAGCATCCAAGAAATGGGTGGAATTGAACAACACAAAAAACATGCTAACCGTTGGCTTGGGGTAAAAAGGGAAAAAGACATGTAACCGTTGGGATTGCCCTTCACATGGCCTTGCTGTCTATTCACTAGTTCAACCCCTCTCTCTCTCTCTCTCTCTCTCTCTAGCACCATCTCATTTTCTTTTTCCTTTTTTTTTTTGAAAAAAATTATTTATTGTTTAAAGTTTCGAACTTTCGATCGAGCTAAAATTGTAACGAGTTAAGCTTCAGCTTATGATACTCGAGTTCCTATCGAATTGAACTCAACTCGATTTAGCTTGCCAAATTAACGAACCTATAACGAAGCTTAAATTTAGCATGTTAATGGACTTTAATGAGTTGAACTTCAATCGTAAAGGACTTATATATAATAAAATTTTAAGAATTATGTAAAATTTTGTATTTATAAAGTCTAACAGACTTTATCAGAACTCTGAGATTTTTTTTAATAAAGAGTCGATTTCAAGCGGAACCACATTCGCTTAATTTAACAACAATAATTATAATTAGCACGACAACAATTGAAAATTCGAATAAGAATGTCCAGAACTTTGAATTAATTAATTCCAACCCCACGACATCATTTATTTACGAACTGGCCCCTACAATCTTTTATATCCCGAAAATACCCTCGCCTTATCCACAAATCCTCCCTCTCCTTATAAAACTCACGCCCTCTGCAAAGCCATCACTTCACATAAGCTCGAAAAAAAAAAGCTGAACGAAAATCCAAAGCAGAGAAAAAAGTAGCTAAGCTAAGCTAAGAGAGAGGCATTGTAGAGAGAAATGACGAAGGAAGTGAGCGAGGAGCCTCCGGTCCACCCCCACGGCAAGGACTACGTGGACCCGCCGCCGGCGCCGCTTCTCGACGTCGGCGAGCTCAAGCTCTGGTCCTTCTACCGGGCCCTAATCGCCGAGTTCATCGCCACGCTCCTCTTCCTCTACGTCACCGTCGCCACCGCCATCGGCCACAACAAGCTCCACGCCGCCGACCAGTGCGACGGCGTTGGAATCCTCGGCATCGCCTGGGCATTCGGCGGCATGATCTTCATCCTCGTCTACTGCACCGCCGGGATCTCAGGTTCTTCCCGAAATTTCAACTAAAAACCCTAGATTAACAAAATCTCGAAATTACTACTTCTGCTTCAAACTACTGATTTTCCCCCTTTTTTCCCGCTCTCTGCTCTGTTGATTTCAGGTGGTCACATCAACCCGGCCGTGACGTTCGGACTTTTCCTCGCCCGGAAGGTCTCCCTGATACGAGCCGTTCTGTACATGGTGGCGCAGTGCCTGGGCGCGATCTGCGGGGTCGGCCTGGTGAAGGCCTTCATGAAGAGCTACTACAACAGCCTCGGCGGCGGGGCCAACTCGGTGGCCCATGGCTACAACAAGGGAACCGCGCTTGGTGCGGAGATTATCGGCACCTTTGTGCTCGTCTACACCGTTTTCTCCGCCACTGACCCCAAGAGAAGCGCGCGTGACTCTCACGTCCCGGTAAGTGAATAGTAATTACTACGGTAAAGTTTTACAGTTTTGCACGTTCTGTGTGTGATGAAAATTATTTTAATTCATTAATGGAGAAACTGTGTTTGTCCGTTGGTAATTCAGGTCTTGGCTCCACTGCCGATTGGGTTTGCCGTGTTCATGGTTCACTTGGCCACCATCCCCATCACCGGCACCGGCATAAACCCGGCGAGAAGCTTCGGTGCGGCTGTGATCTACAATAACGACAAAGTTTGGGATGACCACGTATGCTCTATTTTTTTTTTTTTTTT